TAACCAACACCTTGAATTGGACCTGGAAGCAAACTGGCAACCAATGCAGCTCGCATAACAGTGGTGTTATATGTGCCCCCCTGGGGCATTCAGAACTGTCCACGCCGCCGCATTCTGTGCCAGCTGAAGCTTCTGGATACTCTTCAAGGGTAGCCCCATATAGAGCGCATTGCAATAGTCCAACCAGGAGGTGATCAGGGCATGAGTGACCATGCAGAGGGCCTCCCGATCGAGGGAGGGGTGTAACTGTTGTACAACATGAAGTTGCACAAAGGCCCTCCTAGCCACGACTGCCATCTGCTCTTCGAACAGGAGTCGTGAGTCCAGAAGGACCCCCAGATTACACACCAGGTCTGACTGGGGTAGATGATAAACTCCTAGACCTTGAGGCTCCCCATACCCGCATCCACTCCGTCTTACCAGGGTTCAGTTAAAGCCTGTTGTCCCTCATCCAGGCCCCTACAGCCTCCTTATTTTCTATATTATTATTATGACATTTATATCCTGATGATTATACAGGGAGTTTTATTTGGATGTTGACTACCTAGATCAGTGTTTCTCAACCTCTGCAACTTTAAGATGGGTGGACTTCAACTCCCAGAATTCCCCAGCTGGCTGGGGAATCCTGGGAGTTGAAGTCCACCCATCTTAAAGTTGCAAAGGTTGAGAAACACTGAGTTAAAGAATTTGTGCTAGAGGAGGGAACTTGTTATCTGTCGTTCGATCGCCTGATCTTGCTCATTTATAAGCAGGAATATTTGAAGAGTTAAATCTTTGTACAAGCGGGCGTGAATTTGATCTCATTTGCATTTCCTAGAGCAATGTTGTATTGTAGAGTAGTGTTCCCTCCCATAAACTGAGATGATATCATGCATTCTGCTCCTTGGTCTCCTGGAGCAATGTTTTAATAGCCTCACCCAATCTGACAACGACCTCTTTTCATGCTCAAGATGTGTAGCGCCATCCTAGCTGTGAGAAACATGAAGATTTGAATGCTATGGATATTGCCTCTGTAAGGAGTTCGCTTTGATCTGCTTACCTAGTTGAGTATGACAGCCCTGTTCTGACTACATCAGCCTGCTGGAAATACTCTGTCTGCATGTGCCAGGATGTTGATCTCTGGTTCTGATTGTGACGTGAGCATCCAATGGACTGAATTCAGCCCCGGAGACTTTGCTGACACGGCTGCCAATGATGTGAAAACCCTTGGCTGGGATGACACTGATCCTGCAAAACAGCGGCCTTAGTATTGCTTCGAAGAATTCCAATACATCTGGAATGAAAACAGCCATTTACCCAAGAGAGAGCCACAAACATTCCTGGCCACTGGTAGAACATCTGGCTTGCATACAGTAAGCCCCCAGTTCGATATCTGGCCTCTCCAATTTAAACAAAAGGATGACTGCTAGGGTGGGTCTACTTCAGCACAAATGACCATCATGTTCGCTTCGTTTCCATTGCCGCTATTCACCGACAACGCGTTCTCTTGCCTGTCTCGGCCAGCTGATGTCACTGTTGCCGTTTGCTTTCTCCCACCGACTTACGCTATTGTCACAGTTTCTGAAAGAAGCATCTTGCTGTGGCAGTTGGCACTGTGCATCTCTTGCGCCATGTCACAGCATGCGGGCATACAAAGCAGGTTCCTTCAGATGAATCAACAGCGAGTGGCTGTTTATTTTCAGAAGGAGGCAGAGGACTTATTCTCCAGACTTGGGGGTGCTTTTGCTCCTGGATGTTTCACACTGTGAGTGGCTCATAGAAATGTGTGGCCAATAAGTGCCTCATCCTGAAACTTCTCCTGCGCAAGGAGGAAGTGGTGTATAAAAAAACTATTGTTTTGCTATCTTTCTACTCCCTCTTACCCAATACCCCATTGCATCAGTCTTTCACAGAAGTCACGTCAGTTGAAGTGTCTATGTCTGGGCATACACACACATGCACCCCTGCAAAGCGCACATACATTTTATTCTTTTGCCCCAATATTAGGAATTTTACTAAAAACAGTTGTTAAAAAAGAATAACCAAGAATGGATGATATGCATAAATTACATGATAAAAATACTTCTTAGGGGGAAGAAAAATGTACTAAGAATACAATGAGGTTATGGAGGTACTAAAGGGGGATGCGGTGGCGCAGCGGCTTAATGACGCTGAAAGTTGCCGGCCAGAAATGGTTGACGCTTCAGCGGTTCAAGTCCAGGCTTCGCGTTAAACAGGGTGAGCTCCTGTTTCCTCCCCAGTTCCTGTAAACA